AAAGAAAGAAAGAAAGAAAGAAAGAAAGAAAGAAAGAAAGAAAGAAAGAAAGAAAGAAAGAAAGAAGGAAAATAATAGGTGGGAAAATCAAAGAAACCAAAAGCTGACTCTTTGAGACTATCAATAGAATTGCTAAACCTCTAGTCAGACTGAACAGGAAAAAAGGAATTACCAACTGGGCGCAGTGGCTCACACCTGTAATCCCAGCGCTTTGGGAGGCTGAGGTGGGCAGATCACCTAAGGTCAGGAGTTTGAGACCAGCCTGGCCAAGATGGTGAAACCCCCATCTCTACTAAAAATACAAAAATTATCTGGGTGTGGTGGCACACACCTATAATCCCAAGCTACTTGGGAGGTGGAGGCAGAAGAATCGCCTGTACCCGTGAGGCAGAGATTGCAATGAGCTGAGATCTCACCACTGCACTCCAGCCTGGATGACAGAACAAGACTCTGTTTCAAAAAGAAAAAAAAAGGAATTACCAATATAAAGAACAGGAGAAGAGATAATGCATTGCAAAGGATACTACAGACTTGAAAAAGGAATAGAAATTATGAACAGTTTCATGTTAATAAATTTGAAAACTCAGATGAAATGAGTAAATTCCTTGAAAGATACATAATACCAGAGCTCACACAAGAAGCAGATAACCTGAATAGTCCTATTTCTATTAAAAAATGTGAATTTGTAGTTAAACAGCTTAACAGCTTTCCACAAAACAGTCATCATATCCAGATGATTCCAACCGGGAGCATTCCACCAAAACTGAAGAAAAAAATAATTAATTCTTCACAAATTCTTGCAGAAAATTGAAGAGAGACCATCTCTACCTCATTCCCCAAGGTCAGCATTATCTCAATACCAAAACCAAAGACACTATAAGCAAACATTTCATCAATATCCCTCATGAATATAGATGTAAAACACTCCTTACCAAATTTCAGTAAATTGAATCTAGCAGCATATCTAAAGGATAACATATAATGACTAAATTAGGTTTACCTCAAATATATTAGTTTAACATATGAAACTTAATTAAATGAATCCACCATATAAATTGGAGTTAAAAAAAAAAAAGGGAATTTCAGCAGACGCAAAAAAAAAAAAGTGGTTGAAAAAAAAATCTATGGCTCATGTTTGGGATTTAAAAACAAAAAAGAAAAAATAATCCTGTTTATGGTAAAAACTCAACAAATTAGAAGAGAATTTCTTTCCCTTTCTTTAATAAAGGGAATTGATGAAAAACCTACATCCTACATATTCAATAGTGAAAGACTGAGTGCTTTCCTCTAATACTGGAAACAAGACAAATATGTTCATCCTCATCTCATTACACTGTAAGTTCTAGCTAGACAATGAAACAAGAAAAACAAAATAGCATATGCATTAGAAAGTAAGAAGTAAAGCTATTTTTATTTACAGATGTGATCCTTTGTTGAAAATTTTAAGTAATCCACAAAAAGAACTTAAGGTGACTTTAGCAAGAATACAGGATACATGACTCATATACAAATATTGTATTACCACATACGAACAATGAACAATTGGAAATCAAAATTTTTAAAATAACATTTTCAAAACATCAAACATACGAAATACTTAGGAATAAATCTGACCAAAAGTATAACACCTATATACCAAAAACTACAAAACATTGCTAAGAACTGAAGAAGACTTAAATAATTGAGAAGATATAATATGTTCATGAATTGGAAGACTCAATATTGTTAAGATGTCACTTCTTGCCAAATTGATCTATAAATTCAACACAATCAAAATCCCAGTTGGCTTTTCATTTGTAGAAATGAGAATAGAATTATAAGAGATACAGTAAATTTTACTCTTTTGGTAGTAATTTTATTTACCAAATGTATATATTTATTGAGATGGAGTCTTGCTGTGTCACCCACGCTGGAGTGCAGTTATGTGATTTCAGCTCACTGCAACCTCAGCCTCCCAGAGTCACGTGATTCTTCTGCCTCAGCCTCGTGAGTAGCTGGAACTACAGGCATGTGGCCATACCCGGCTAATTTTTGTACTTTTAGTAGAGATAGGGCTTCACCATGTTGCCAGGCTGGTCTTAAACTTCTGACCTCAAGTGATCTGCCCGCCTCAGCCTCCCAAAGTACACTCGGCCTCAAAGGTATAGAACCTTAAAACCACCAGCACAATCAGCATTTATAGAGCAGTTCTATTACCAACTCCCTTCCTAAATTTTCCTATGCTATCCCTTTATAGTCAAATCCTGCCCCCAACCTTTAAGCCTTGGATACCTTTGATTTGTTCTCTGTCTCAGCTGTTTCGTCTTTTACAGATAATCATACAAAGTGGGATCATATAGTATCTTGTCTTTTGTATCTGGGATCTTTCACATAGCACAATGCATTTGAGATTCATTCACGTTGTTACATATAGCAAGAGTTTGTCCCTTGTGATATTCTATTATATGAATGAACCATAGCTTGTTGAGGGATGTTAATTTCTAATTTTCGGTGATACAAATAAAGTTGTTAAGAATGTATATATACATAGTTCTTTTATGTGTGAGCTTAGGTTTTCATTTTATGTGAGTGAATGCCTAGGTATGGGATTGCTGGGTTATATGGTAAATATATGTTTCAACTTTGTAAGAAACTGTCAAATCATTTCCAAAATGACTGTATTATTTTGCATTCCTACTAGACGCTCTGTATCCTTGCTAGCAACTGTACTGTTAGTTATAAAAACATTTTAGGTATTCTAATAGATAACACAGTGATATTTTATTGTAAGTATCCGTTCATATTGTTTGCTCAGTTTTCTATTTGGTTATTTGTTTTCTTTCTTTGATGGAGTCTTGCACTGTTGCCCAGGCTGGAGCACAGTGGTGTGATCTTGGCTCACTGCAACCTCTGCCTCCTGGGTTCAAGCAATTCTCCTGCCTCAGCCTCCCTAAGTAGCTGGGATTACAGGTGTATGCCACCACACCCAGCTAATTTTTTGCATTTTTAGTAGAGACGGGGTTTCACTATGTTGGCCAGACTGGTCTGGAACTCCTGACCTTGTGATCTGCCTGTCTTGGCCTCCCAAAGTGCTGGGATTACAGGCATGAACCACCGTACCTGGCCGGTTGTTTGTTTCCTTGTTGTTTTGAGAATTCTTCAAATATTCTGGACACAAGTCACTTCTCAGATATCTGATCCACAAATATTCCTTCCAGTGAATGGCTTGTTGTTTTAGTCTCATAACAGTGCATTTCACAATGCAGAAGCTGGCACGGTGGCTCACGCCTGTAATCCCAGCACTTTGGGAGGCCGAGGGGGGTGGATCACAAGGTCAGGAGATCGAGACCAGCCTGACCAACATGATTAAACCCTGTCTTTACTAGAAATACAAAAATTAGCCAGGCATGGTGGCATGTGCCTGTAGTCCTAGCTACTTCAGATGCTAAAGCAGGAGAATCGCTTGAACCCGGGAGGCAGAGATTGCAGTGAGCCGAGATCATGCCACTGCATTCCAGCCTGGGCGACAGAGCAAGACTCCATGTCAAAAAAAAAAAAGAAGCAGCACAATGCAGAAGTTTTACAGTTTCATGAAGACCAATTTACCTTTTCTTTTCTGGATGAGGTTTTAAATTTCATAGCTAAGAACTCTTTGCCTAATCTAAGATCTCAAAGATTTTCTCCTGAATTTTTTCTAAGTTCTATAGTTTTACCTTCTATGTTTTGTCTATCAGCAAATTTTTATCTGAGGTGTGTGATATGGTTCAAAGTTTATTTATTTTTTTTAGCAATTGTATAGCACCTTTTCTTGAAAAGACCATTCTTTCTCTACCAAGTTGCCTTTGTACCTTTGTTAGTAATCTACAGGCCACTCATGTGTGGGTCCATTTCTGGACTCTCTAATCTGTTCCATTGATCAACATGTGCTATCTTTTTTTTTTTTGCTAAGAGCATGCTGTCTTCATTACTACTGTACTTTTATAGTTAAGTCTTGAAATAGGGTATTGTGAATCCTCCAATATTTCCTGTTTTTTCTTCAATACTGTTTTGGTTTTTTAGTTCCTTTGCCTTTTCATACAGGTTTTTAAATCTGTATGTAAAGGCACAGATTTTAGATATTTATATCTATAGTATTATTTATAAACAATCATGCTGGTATTATGATTGGGACTGTGTTGAATCTATAAATCAACTTGGGGAGAACTGACATTTTAAAATGGTATATCTCTCCATTTATTTAGGTATTGGATTTCTTTCATTTGTTTCATTATCAGTGTTTTGTAGTGTTCAGTATACAGATCCTTGTGAGATTTACACATATGAATTTCATTTTTTTTCTAAGCTACTGCAAATGGTACTATGTTTTATTATCTCAACATCCAATTGTTCACTGCTGATATATAAAAATACAATTGACTTTTCTATCTTGTGACCTTGCTTAACTCATTTATTAGTTCTAGATTTTTTGGTGAGTCCATGGCATTTTCTATATAGGCATTCATATTGTCCTTTCCAATCTGTATGCCTCTTCTTTGTCTTGTCTTCTTTTGCTTGGTAGGAATTCCAGCACAATGTTGAACAGTAGTGGTGCAAATGGACATGCCTGTCTTGCTCCCAATTTAAGGGCGGTGACAGATATGTTTTACTATCTTGTCTGTGGTGACAGTTTCATAGGTATATGCACATGCCAAAACTGATCACACTGTATACTTTATGTGCAGCTACTGTCAACTGTACATCAATCAAAAAAATAACTTATCAGATGCTTTTGAGAAGCATTAAACCGCCAGCTAGTCAGCAGACTGTTTAGCCTCCCATACTCGCCTACTTCCAGATCATTCCAAAATCTGTATGAGAGGGTTCCTTTGTGTCCTGCAAAAACAGTATTATTACTGGTCTTTCTTTCTGCCCTCATTCAAATCTTGCCTCACCTTTCTGTCTTGCTTTGCTTTTCAAGTTACTGAAATTCTATCCAGGTAAGTTGTCTTTCTAGATAAAATTCATTCATATCCTTTCAAAGTACAATGGTTTATTCTGAACAATGTATTTTCTTCATTGTTATGTCTGAGTAATAGATTTCATGTCAGCTAATTTTACTGATGCTTATGAGATTATACATTCTCTATATTATTATTTTTATCAAAACACAGTTTAAAAAAAAAATTAGCAGATACTACCTAAAATATCCGTCTTAAAATCACTTTATCAAATCTACCATCTTTTTGCTGACAACTTAATTGTAGCTTCTAAGACCTACAACTCTTACTTCTTGGACTGCTTTTCTAAGGCTGGCTAAATTACTCTAACTCAAGAATACAGAAGATGAGCAGCACAGGCCCTGAAGTTAGACTCTGGGTCCAACTCTCTACTGATGACCTTGGGCAAGATATATATATATACATACCATGTAGCCAACACCTTTGTCAAAAAATTGAACATTACCAGTACCTCTGGTCCTGTATTAAAATCTTAGGTTTGCAGGTGACCTTTGTCAAAGAGTAAAATAAAATGCTCTATGACCTTTTGTTCTACAACACTTGTCACAGAGCAAAAAAAAAACATATACATTAAAACTCCCATGATAAATCTCAGAAAATAGAGAAAAATAATTCCCAACTGTCCTGATAAATGCACAGCTTCTGTACTGTTTAATGCCTACCCTAAACTTGCCCTCCTGAAACTTAACAGAAATAGGGATATGGGATGGGGAATAAGATGCCTAAGAGAAAAGAAACAAAAACTATCTCCAGGATAAGGAATTATTTTATCAGTGAGTTGCAGGAATTTTTAGTTCAGAGCATGGCGGCAAAGAGGGCTAGAAATAGTGATTCTGGAAAAAGGATTCATTCCAGAATGATGAAAGGTGGTTGCTTCTGTAGAGACAGGGACAGTGTGCACAGTGCATGTCACACAGAGCAAAACTGTAGATGCTGGTCATGTTTTCCTCTATTTCAGGAAGAAGGATTCTTTTTTTTTTTT